TTTATTGATAAACAAATAGCAATGAGACAGTTTCAAATCAAATTGGTAGGACAGTTTCAATAATTAACACATTGCATACATTCTTCCTAGTGGTTATTTGCTGTACAAGATGCGGACATGATACCCTATTTACAAACACCATTAGAACAAATCCCTCTATTCATTAAGAGAATGTAACTGTATATCTATCCTACCCACTTTGAATACACAGATACAAAATGAACATTCATCTGTATGCTCTTTTTTTTGTTAAGTTCCGTTATTTGACCCTTTTCTCTTTTAAAAGCTTTAACAGTGCACAGATTGACTATGGCACTCTTACTCCATTTCTTACTTATTCACATCCACTTTTCACAGAATCCTAACTACATGTTGGGAAATGTACTAAGAATTAAATCACACACATATACTTTCCCCATTTAATCCTTATCAAAGTCTTTGAGGTATATATAATAGCCCCATTTTCAAAAATGGAACTGAGAAGGGCCAACGAGATAGCTCAGTGGACTAAGAGTCTACTTTGGCAAGTGCAGGGACCAGAGTTTGATCCCTGGTCCCGCATGCCGCACTGGCTCTGCCCCCAGGGTGTGCTAAGCCAGCAAACGAGTCCAGGGGTGGTGGCACATGCCTGTAATCCCAGCCCTGGGAAGGCTGAAAACAGGAAGATCACGGCAGTCCGAGCTGCACAGTGAGACCCTGTACCAAATACATTAAAAAAAAAAAAAAAAAAAAAAGGAACTGAGTTTCAGAAACATCAGAATTTCTGAAGACGCTTTTTTTTTCAAGGCTCTCATCAGTGGCTTTCACAGTGGCGGCAGCAGCAGTGTGCGAGCTCCTGTCTACATGTTCTTCTCTCCCGGCATCACTCGGCTCAGTAAGCCCCTGCTCAGTCCTTGAGGTCAGGCGTGGGCAGCTTCTTCTCTCCAAACTTCTCTACTATCTCCATCTGCAGCCTGGGCTTGGCAGGGCAGGGTTAGACACCACTGCTGTCAACTACTGCTACCCATGTACGCTTGCTCGCTTCTGTTGACTCCTTTATGCCCCACCCCCACAAAGTTCCAAGAGTAGGGGCTGGTTTGGGTTTGGTCTTTTTTCCTCCAGTGCCAGGGATCAACCTAGGGCCTACCACTGAGGCACATCCTAGTGCCTAGGCTTTGTCTTTAAAGAAGAAAAACTTTACAGTAACCTGAGAGAATCTGGTGAATGCCACTAAGTGCTAAGTAGCAAATGCCAATTGTCTGTCCACTGTCACCAACCTTCAGCTTATCCGCTTTCACTCGCACTTCCAGAAGTTTCTTCTCCTTAGCATCTATATGCAGCCCCTCGTCACACCAGCTCACAGCCTCGGCAAAGTGTTTCAGCTCTAGATGGCACAGGGCACCTGAAGAGACCACAGACTTTAGGGTCTAGGAACAACATGCATGGGCCAGTCACCTCATCTGCCACCGCCTGAAAGGGGGACAGGGGCTGGGTCCCTGGACTTCAGCCCCTAACAGGCAAGAACATTCTCTGTATATGTTCTGTATCAATGTCAGAAATATCCCTAGTGCTCATTCAGTTCAAAACCCTCTAAGTCTCCTTGGCACTAAGCACTGTAAAAGCAGGGAAGGATATGGCTTAGTGGCAAAGAATGAAGAAAAGTCAGAGAGGTGGGCTGGAAATCAGACTGAAGCTTGGGCCAGGGAGACAGCTCAGCAGCCTAAGTGCCTGCCTGGCAAGCACAAGGTTCTGAGTTCAATCCCTGGTACAAGAAAACAAAAACAGAAGACGAAATATAGGAAGTAAAGCCATGTTGTTATGTTGAGCTGTGGGGGACTCAGGTCAATAATTTCTGACATTGCCAGTTAAACAGAAGACCCAATGCTATTATGGGCTACTGGACTCTTTTAGAATATTTTGCTGAGTTTACACACTTATAATATTCAATAATGGAACTTAGAAAAAATGGGGTATACCGATGAATGTCCATTTTGTATCTGTGTATTCAAAGTGGTTAGGATAGATATATAGTTGCATTCTCTTAATGAATAGAATGATTTGTTCTAATGGTGTTTGTAAATAGGATCTCAAGTCCGCATCTTGTACAGCAATTAACCACTAAGAAGAATATATGCAGTGTGTTATTTGTTGAAATTGTACTTCCGATTTGATTTGAAACTGTCTCATTGCTATCTGTTTATCAATAAAATTTTGAAAAGAAAAAGAAAACAAAAACAAAAACAAAGACAAAAAAAAAAAAAAGACTAAATCTTGGACAAAGAATTGAGAATCTTAAAACTTGGGTTCCTCATCTATAAATGGGAAAAATTAAGTGTATTTCAAGTAATTTTTAAAACACAGAAAATAAGCAGAATTTGCTTCAGGCATTCATCACAATAGCAGCAAGATCCAAGATGCTATATCCCTAGTCAGGGGCAGTGATGCACACCTGTATTGCCAGCACTTGGGAGGCTGAGGCAGGAGGATCACTGCAAGTTCCAGGCCAACTTGAGCTACAAAGTGAGTTCAAGGCCAGCTTACACTACATAGTGAAACCCTGTCTCAAAAAAACAAGCAAAACCCCAAAAACATGTACCTTTTCTAATTTTGTTCAAGGCTATCAGTTCAAACCACTTCTATTTCAAAAAGAAAAAAAAAGTTTTACCAGTTGTGGGTGGCACACACTTGTGGGAGGCTAAGGCACGAGGATGGCTGGGAATTCAAGGCCAGCCTAGGCTACAAAATGAGTTTGCGGCAAGCCTGGACTGCATATTGAAACCTTGTCTAAAAAAAAAAAAAGGAAAGTGTTTTAAAGGGTGCACATCTGTAATTCTAGCTACTCAGTAGGCTATAGCAGAATTACAAGCTTGAGGCCAATATCTTAGCAAGGCCTGATCTCAAAAATAAAAAGTAAAAAGGGATGGGGCCATAGTTCTATGGTAGAGTATGCCTGGGTTGATCCCCAGTACCAAGAGGAAAAAGTTTTAATTCAACATGTTCATTTTCTCTAGTTGGCCTCTTTAGGCTTTCCACAAAATGTCAGTATCAGAATTGTAAAGTTGCAAAGGTTTAGATGTCAAAAGAATTTAATCCAGGGCTGGGGAGATAGCTCAGTAGACTAAGTGCTTGCATGGCAAGCGCAAGGGCCTGAGTTCAATCCCCGGTTCCACCAAAAAAAAAAAAAAAAAGAAAGAATTTAAACCCATCTTCCAAAGGTGAGCGAACTGACACTCTGAGCAGGAGTCATGCCAAGGTCACATTAAAAGGTAAAACTAGCCGGGTGTGGTAGCTCATGCCTATGACCCCAGCACTCAAGAGGCTGAAACAGGATGAGGTAGAAGCCAGCCTGTGCTACACAGGCAGTTCAAGGCCAGCTTGAACCACATATCAAGACCCTGTTTCAAAAAAAAAAAAAGTAAACTGACAATTGAATCAGGGATTACAGATGTCTCGTGTGAGGCCAGTTCCACAGGACGACACTCTACATGCTGGTCTTCATCCAACACCTCCTTTCTCTACAGCTGAGGGATGAGCACGTACTTCCACTCCTCTAGCCATGAACAGCTCAACAGGCTTGGTAAAGTATTTTAAGCTGGTCCATGGAATATAGTGGAGATTAGTATGAAATGAATAAATTAAAAAATTACAGAGTACCTATGAGCTTCTCAAAGAAAAGGTAAAGAATAAACATAATAAAAGCACTATAATTACACAGAAAGGTCAGACTACAAGAGAAAAAAAATCTGGGAACATCTCAGCATCAGAGTTATCAGCAAAGGTCCCATAACTTATCTTTTAATTAACATTAGCATGGCATTTGAAAATCTTGCCTTTTAATCAGCTAATTTGGAAAAAGAATCAGTGTGGCTTTTGGAACTGCTTTAATTAATTTTATTCCTTATTAATTTCAAATGAGTTTCAAATTCTATATAATTTTTTTTATTTTTATCAAATTCTACATAGATTCTTACAGTATAAAGGGTTAGATTATTGTCCGAGGAATTAATTTAAAATGGCATGTTCGCTCTTCCCTTTCGTGGCCATCCCTGGAGTTGCAGCAGCCAAAATGAAGTTTAATCCTTTTGTGACTTCAGACCGAAGCAAAAACCATAAAAGGCATTTCAATGAGCCTTCCCACATTCGCAGGAAAATTATGTCTTCCCCTCTTTCCAAAGAGCTGCGACAGAAATACAGTGTTCGCTCTATGCCCATCCGAAAGGATGCTGAAGTTCAGGTTGTGCGAGGACACTATAAAGGTCAGCAGATCGGCAAGGTAGTCCAGGTTTACAGGAAGAAGTATGTCATCTACACTGAACGGGTGCAGCAGGAAAAGGCAAATGACACAGCTATCCTTGTGGGCATTCACCCCAGTAAGGTGGTTGTCACCAGGCTAAAACTAGACAAAGACTGCGAAAAGATCCTGGAATGGAAAGCCAAGTCTTGCCAAGCAGGAAAGGAAAAGGGCAAATACAAGGAAGAGATGAGAAGATGCAGGAATAAAGTCCTCCTCTGTGCAACTTTAATTAAAAACTGCTAAAATGAAAAAAAAAAAAAAAATGCCATGTTGCTCTTGACAAAGAACAGAAACTTAGTATCAAGATTACAAAAATAAGGAGAGTTCAAAGCTTAAATGTCAGTTTTTGGTCCAGCGAGTGCCAGTTTTTCCACGGCAATAATTATACGAGTGCAGCTCTGCGAGCCTTACCTCTTGTTATGGCTTTGAGGTGGTGGGGCTTTAGCTTTCGGGCAGCCATCACGTCACTGAGAGCAGAACGAAAATTGCCTAACAAAAGCCATGTAGTGAAAGAAAGAACAAGTTTTGAAATCAAACTTTATCCAAAATATGTGTGCATTGACAAACACATTCTTGTACAATCTTGGAGAAAGGTAAACCACAGCAACTGTTTTTGGAAAAAATAGAACTGTGCTCCCTGAACCTTGGCAATGTTTACAGCACCAGGCAATCCACAGAACAACAGCGAGTAAGCAAGAGGTTTAAACCCACTTGTGACTAGGAAATGAGAATCACCAGAAAGCTGGTGAAAATTAAGGACCAATAACAGCTGCTCCTGGTGCACATACAGGGGAAAAAGCACCTCCGAATAAACTGAACAGCAAACTAGTGTGTGCTTTGTGCATACACTTTAACTCAACAATTTTCTTCTAGGAAATTATCTTCAAATATAGTTGTTTAAATGTAAAACTTAACTGCAGCACTTTAATGGTAGAAAACTGGAGATAATTCAGGAGTCTTAAATTTGGTAATTACTAAGTAAGTTGTGGTGAATCCATTACTAAATACTAAGCAACCATTAAGAAGAACCAGATCACAAACCATTTGGGGAGTTTCTTAATTTTTGTTAGTACAGTTTACAA